TTATAAAGGTTGGAGTCTACTCCTTCCAAGTTAAGGTTGATATTTGGACCTCCCAAGAATCAGGAATGTCCTTTATTTTCTTTTTCTAGCCCTGAGTTTTGGATCAGGGCTTTGCATGTGCTAACCAAGTGCTCTTCTATTGAGCTTCATCCCCAATCCTTTTTATTTTATTTTGAGTTAGGGTCTTACTAAGTTACCCAGGCTGGTCTCAAACTTGCAATCCTCTTACCTCAGTCTCCTACTTGGGATTTTAGGCATGTGCCACCATGCCCAACATGGATGTTCTTAATGGCAACTAGAATGATTAATCTTCTCCAGAAGGTTTTCAATTTATTTTGCCCAGATCTTCAGAGAAATCTCTATCTATGACAACTGTAGTCTTACAAAATGCATTTCTTAAGTAGTAAGACTTAGCACATGAAATACTCTGATCCATGGCCTGCAGAATGAACATGAAAACAACAATAATTCTGTACATCTCCAACAGAGCTCTTGGGTGATCAGGTACTTTGGAAAGGGACTTTTAAATTTTTTTTAATCTTCTCCTTCCTTCCTGGAAAGGTGTTTTGTTGGCTGGTTGGTTGGTTGGTTGGTTGGTTGATATTGGAAGATGGGTGTGTGTGTAAATGTATGTGGTATTGTTTTTTTTTTTGCCATAAGTCTCAACAGTGGGCTTAAAATTTTCAGTAAACAAGGTTGTAAATGGATGGTTATCATCTAGACTGTATTATTCTATTAATAGTAACCAGGCAGAGTAGACTTAGTCTAATTCTTAAGGTCACTAGGATTCTCAGAATGACAGTTGAGTATTGGCTGCAACTTAAATTAATCAGCTGCATTAACCCCTAACAAGTGAGCCAGCTTGTGCTTTGAAGCCTTGAAGAAAGGCATTGACTTATCTTTAGCTATAAAAGCCCTAAATGGCACCTTCCAAGGTAAAGGCTGTGTTGTTTACATTGAGAATCTATCATTTAGTGTAATTCCCTTCAGCTATGATCTTAGCTAGATTTTCTGGATTACTTCCTGCAGCTTTAACATCAGCACTTGCTATTTTACTTTGCACTTTTACTTTGTGGATACAGTGTCTTTTCTTAAACCTCAGGAGCCAGCTTCTGCTAGCTTTAAACTCCCCTGCAGCTTCCTTGCCGCCCTAATACTTCAAGGAATTGGAGACAGGGCCTTGCTCTGGATTAGGCTTTGATTTTAAGGGAGTGTTATATAGTTAGTTGATCTTCTATCCATACCATTAAACCCTTCTTCATATTTGCAATGAGGTTGTTTCACTCTCTTATCATTTGTATGTTCACTAGAGTAGCCCTAATAATTTCCTTCAAGAACTTTTCCTTTGCATTTCACAAGTTAGCTAACTGTATATTCCTAGTATACAACACAGGGTCTGGTTTCAAAATAGGAGCTAAAAATGATTATCATTTTGATTAGGTATTCAATAAAAGTTTATTGTTTGAATCAATGGTACCTCATTTAGCATTTCCCCAGTATGTACACACACATGTGCATGTGTATGATACATTCATGTAACTAAGAATGGGTTTTACACCATCCAGATCCTTCTAATTATCATAGCTGATGCTTTCATTTCTATTTAATCTTTGGCATTCTCTGGTAGTAAAGGAATCTAATTGTTTTGAAGAAAATTGTGAGTATTAATAAGGGTACAAAGAACAGTTCGGGTGTGAACTTACCAAAGTCTTAGGGCATAGGCAGACATTATTTACCTGCATTAGCCAAGTGGCTACATAAAGGGGGCTACAGTCGCCTGACAGTGATGATGTTGGCACCCGTGGCTTCTCAACCCAAAGATGGCACATTCACTCATATGGGATACTGCTAGCCAGCAACCATTTCTTCATAGGGTTCTCTGTTCTACTTTGCCCTTTTTAGGAAGTCATTCGATTGAATATTAACTGTTCTTTTTTGTATATCTTAACACTCATACAACAATCTTGATTTTGTAATCAGAAGCATCTGATGACAAGGATGGGATCAAGAAAGAAAAGCATACCACTAACATTTTAATACCTTTCCTCACTGCCCATAATTTTGCAAATATGAAAAATTATATGACCCAGTGGAATATTACATTTGGAATTACCAAAATGAAACTGTTTAAAATAAAAATGGCACTATTTACAGATCATATATATTGGTTTGGGAATAACACAAGGTGGTGCTAGTGGACCTCACATACATATTCTTCAGCAATCAACAAAGACCTGTTAAATCTGCTTATTCCAGAGTTTTATGTCTGATGAGCTATTTCAAGATTCTAGTTTTCTTAAAAATAAGAAGTAAGATCATGCAAACATGTTCTTTTTGTTTTAGATAATATTATCTTTAGTATATGCATTTGAGATTTCAGTTACTAGGTAAAATAATGACGTCATGATTTTAATTTAATTATTTTTGGTTAAGGAAACCCATTGAATTAATGCAATTGAAAAATAATGAGACCAATTTCAGTAAATACCTCCAAAAAATACAGTCATTGCTATATGCAAATAGGGCCTTCATATATTAAAGAAGGAAGAATAGGAGGAAGGGTAGAAGGAAAATGAGAAGGGGAAAATGTTATTTTTAAATATTTTTTGTTTTCAGTCATTCATGGAAATATTTTATCAATCTTTTTTTTTAAAGAGAGAGAGAGAAATTTTTTTTAATATTTATTTTCTAGTTTTCAGCGGACACAACATCTTTGTTTGTATGTGGTGCTGAGGATCGAACCCGGGCCACACGCACCACTTGAGCTACATCCCCAGCCCTATTTTATCAATCTTAAGTTACAGAGTTATAGACTATTATGGATATAATGGAGACTACAAATGATCTAGGTCAGTCTTCTCATTTTATAGGGAAATAGAACTCAAGACCATGAAAAACTAATTGACATGCCAAAGTACTTATTATTAGCTAGTAACAGAACATACAACATGACCTTTTTTCTTTTTTTTATAGTGGTCCTGGGGTTCAAATTCAGGGCCTCACACATGCTAGGAAAGCACTGTACCACTGAAATACACCTCCATCCCTTATGAGAGAAATCTTATAAAAATTTCATATATATTCACCAGAGCCCATTTGGTATTCTTTAAAAAGTACAGTAAAAAGGTAATCAGCATTGTTATCACTACTTTTTAGGCTATTTTGAAGTATTCTTCTTTGCAACCAATGGCAAAACTGTAGGGTATTTTCAAAATAGCTAGAATTGCTTTCCTTTAAAAAGGTTTTAATTTTTTTTAACTGTTTGTGCTGCTGACACCAAAATATCTCTCTCCAAAGGATTGCATTCTTTGACACTAGTTCAAAAAAGCAAGATTCATAGTCATAGTCATAGCTTTAGACTATGACTAATTTAGAGTACCCAATCATGAGCCAGAATACCTTAGTTCTAAAGTAAAACTTTACCAACAGAAATATATAAGAAAGATAAGCATAGGGGTTTTATGTGCTTTTATTAATTATTCAAGGAAGCTCCCCCAAATCAATGATTCACATTGTTCCTTTGATGAGCAACCAGGAAATTTTTACTCCTTGATACAGTGCACCTAAGAAGATTTCAGATAAATGAGGATATGTCTTTCTTTAATAAAGTGGGGAAAAGGAGTATAATGGAGAAGTAGGAATACAGAACATTAAAGTATGTTGAAGTAAGAGAAAAATAAATAAGATGTTATGGTCAGACAGGTGACTTCTAGGCTTTCACTTAGAAGTTTGTGATGCTGGACAAGGGTAGGTTGACTCTTTGAATCTGATACTTCTTAAATGCTAGCCTAGTGCCAACCTAGCAGACAGAAGGTACCAAATAAATGGTAATTATTATTATAATCTAATAGAGACCAATGTAGAAAAGTAAAATGAATGTTCTAGCCCCACCAAATATGATCTCTTCCTCTCTTAATGAATGTTATGCATTTTTTAATATTTGTTTACTGGGTTTTAAATTCTGTGTGATTATGGAAACTTTGCTTGACTTACATGGACTTCCCAGCCCAAAAGACTACTCTTGCACCTAGTGGGAAAAGGGAGACTTAGGACTGAATCAATAGTCTTCAGGCTTATGCATTACATGAGGATAATGAGAATGAGGAAGAGCATCTGGCCTTCCTATAGGAACTGTTAAAGTAGTACATGAAATAAATCCAAGACACAAAAGCTAAGTCATTAAAAATATCTAATACATTCTGAGTGCTAAGTTAAAGGAAACATCTCATTAGAATGACTGAAATGTGTTTTCAATTAATTCTGTGTCATATTTTGGGTGTACAATTTATGGAACAGTTAAAAACAAGTAAACAAAAAACTTTAAATGAATGGATAACTAGTGAAAATTTATGTGAGTGCTGGAGATTTAACTGAAAAGAACTTTACTTTCATTTTTCTTCATTGTAGAGCAGTAAATAACCAAACAGATAAGTACCAAACAGATAAGTACCAACCACATGAGTCGGTCCAAAAACGAAAATCTGTATTCTAAGACTAAATTTAAGATCTCTAACCTCTTCTTGCCAAAACATGTCCATGTTATCCAGTGTGGGGCTCACCTAATAACTATGTCAGTCACAGAATTGCTAAAATATATCCCAACTCAAATTTTTTTGATAGACAGTATCTCCCCCCCCAAAAAAAAATTCTTCTTTCCAGTAAAGTGGTCAAATTTTGGGAGACTGAATATAAGCAGAATAGACAAGGAATAGCTGCATAATCTTGAAAAGGTCCTAGTCGAGCCTCAGTCTTTTGATCATTAAAATGATATTTTTAATACAGGTCCACAATCTCTACTCTGCAATCCCAAAATAAGACAAAAACAGAAAACACTCTGAAACTCAAAAGTGTTTTGTGAGTTTGGCACCAGGACTCTTTGACAACAAAACAAACCGTGGATAAACATGAAGCCTCCATTTTCTTACTACTCATATCCGTTCACCACACATACCTCTGTTATTTGCTGATGTTTTGTGACTTGGAATTAATAGCATTGGAAAATGTCCAAAAGAGTTAAAGATATACCTATGGATAATGGTGAGAAGAAGAAAAGGAAGCATCTGTCTTTATCAATAGCTCAGAAAGTAGAGTTATTACAGAAGCTTGATGCTGGTGTGTCTGTAAGGTGTCTTACAGAAGAATATGGTGTGGGGACCACCACCATATATGACTTAAAGAAACAGAAAGACAAATTGCTGAAATTTTACAGTGACAGTGATAACCAAGAACTAATGAAAAACAGAAAAACATTACATAGGGCCAAAAATGAAGATCTTGACCGTGTGTTAATTGAATGGATTCGACAACAAAGAAGCAAAGATATGCCCCTGACTGGTTTATTGGTCATGAAACAAGCTAGAATATACCATGAAGAACTGAACATTGAAAGCGAGTGTGAATATTCAGAAGGGTGGCTGCAAAAATTTAAAAAGCGTCATGGAATCAAATATCTTAAAATGTGCGGTGAAAAAGCTTCTGCGGATCATGAAACAGCTGAAAATTACATTGACGAATTTGCTAAGATAATATCTGATGGAAACCTTAGCCCTGAACAAATTTACAATGCTGATGAAACAGCTCTGTACTGGTGCTATGTTCCTAGAAAAACCTTAATCATGGCCAATGAAAAGGTACCAACAGATTTCAAGGATGCCAAGCAAAGATTAACTGTTCTTGGATGTGCTAATGCTGCAGGTACACATAAGATAAAACTGGCAGTGATTGGGAAAAGCCTACCTCCAAAATGTTTAAAAGGTACAGGCAGCTTACCTGTGCATTATTATGCAAACAAAAAAGCATCAGTAACCAGAGAAATCTTTTCTGATTGGTTCAATAAGCACTTTGTGCCAGCAGCACGAGCTCACTGCAAGGAAGCCGGACTAGAAGACAATTGCAAAATTTTACTGTTCCTAGACAACTGTTCAGCACATCCCCCTCCAGAACTACTTGTGAAAAATTGTAATGTTTTCAGCATCTTCCTTCCCCTGAATGTGACATCCATAATACAGCCTTGTGACCAAGGAATTTTACGCTCCATGAAGAGCAAATATAAACACTTTTTCTTGAACAGGATGCTTGCTTCAGTGAACASAGGCCTGAAAATCCAGGACTTCCTTAAAGAATTTAGTCTTAAGGATGCCATCTATGCAATTGCTAATGCATGGAATGATGTTGATAAGTCAACATTAACAAATGCTTGGCA